CCTCAGAGAAAGCAGCTTCTGCTATATGGGGAGAGAAGGGAAGGGAGCTGTGAAGTGCAAGTTTAGCACAAGAGGGAACAGCATTTCCCACAGTGTAGCAGGATAGCAAGCTCCTGATAAAACTCCCAGCAGTGATAGATCTGATTTCCTATGTCAGCCCTCTATTCTGACCTCTTGCTGAGGAAAGGAGAGGGCTTCCCTTGGCTGGCTCACCCTCCTGCCTTCAAGATACCAATTTCTGCCACCTGGTTTGATGGCTGTGGGCCTAGGACAGATTACCATCTTCAGTCTATCCCTATCATTCTTTTCCTCCTCCTAGAGCCTTCTTTTGATCATCTTCCCCCCGTTCTACCCTCCTTAATTAAAAAAAATACAAACACACATGCAAAATCTCTATTCTGACACATTGTATCTTCCAGACTACACATACATCCTCCATGTTAATTCTTTAGAGGTTAATAGGTTCACTTGCAAAATTTCACTCCCTCTCCTCACACTTGTCTATCCTACTCTGCCATATGTGTCCTAAAATCTGCCTTTCAGTTTAGGACTTGTTAATTTTCCAAGCAAAAATTTAGCTCTGAAAGCTACATCATCACAGCATCCTGCACTTAAATCATCTAAGTATGGGAGAGCATAAAGGAAACTTGTTTTCTCTGCCTGTAGTGATGCAGTAGGAATGCAATAGACTTCTCACAGACCATTAGGACATTCATTGCTTAGCTCCAATGTAAATCAGATTACATGCTCAGGTAGTGGATTACTTGCCTGTACTAGTTGTGCTCTTCAGGGGATCCAATAAACAAGCCTAGACAGGTCTTCATTGCTGCACGATGTTTTGGATGCAGTCATATATGTCAAAATATACCAAGGACTTTTTGTTAATGGTGAAGTAAGATAATAATAAAAGCTTTGACTCTGAAGCCACTGAAACCAACTAATTTTCCTCTCAATTCAGAGCTAAAACCAAATATATGTAGATGTGCAGGGACTGTATTGTTAGGAAATGTTTGCTTTCTTATCCTATAATTTCTGAGGCTAAAACCCTGTGTAATTTTTGCAGTTTTTGCTTAATGCTATGGAAGTTCTGTTTCTTCTTCATATATCTTTACAATGTAAGAAAGCATATAGCTACAATAACTATACCTAGTACACAATACCTATACACAAATCTGCTAGAATCTGCTGTTTTTCTGATTTCTCCATGATACAGAATACATCTAGTTATGAGATAATGCATCTCTACAAGCAGCAGAAGATATACTAATGTGCAATAAAAACACTAGTAAGAGTAAGGAATCCCATAAGGATATTTCTAGAGCTTATATATTTGAGAAAAGTATATTTATAATTTTTTAAAAAAAATCAATCCAAGTAATTTTATCAATATGGTAAATCAGCACTCATTGATCTTTGATAGGAATGTGCATGTTCATGAGAAATTTCTTGTAAGTCATGCCAAAAATATGCCAGTCTCATTTGTCAGAGTATGGATGTAATTAATGCAATATCCCCCACTTCTTTTTTCTGGCTTTATTTTTTCTTAAAATGTAGAAGCATGTTCATATTTTAAATTTATTATTTTTTGGCATGGATTTACAATAAACCAATATTCTTTTTTAATAACACATCACTGGAAAAGATGGTCTGGCTATATATTTTATTAGCTAATAGCCTTGAGAAGAGGGCCTCTGATGACAGTGAGCAGACAGAGCACCAGCAAGGACTGAGTCATTATGTCCTTCTTTTGGATAGAATTATTCCTAATGAAATCAGACCACTCAGGTATTTCTGTATAATTATTTAGAAGGTGCCATAGGCCTCCAGGTTGTGCTCTGAAACACAACCATGCAAGCCAGCTCCATGAATGACATCAGTCATTTATCAGTGCACAACCTGATAGACTCTACTGAGAGCTGAAATAGAGGATTTTCTGTTCAGCCTTGTGTTAATTTGAGCATTTCTTGGCTACAGCTGGTTTCAGAGCTTGGCCAGAGCAAGCAAGTGGCTATCTGCATCTTATAATGTAGAGATGAAAGACAAAGAAGGGTCTGCACTGCTGGGGGTGTGAAATTGTGCTGTTGGGGGGAGACAATTCATAAACTTTCTGGCAGTGGAAGTTGGAGAGACCTTTCTTTTCTATATATTCAGGCAACGAGAATAAGGAATGTTGTGAGTTATACTCCTTATGTATCTCTCTTAATGCCATTCCATTGTGTTATGCCAATTTATACCTAGGCTGAAGTCTAGGAATGTCAGGGATTGATTCAATTTATAAAATAAACAAGGAAATAAGTTGGTGAAATCTGGAGTTATTTAGGGAAGGATATCCTTAAAACTGTGTTGCAGTGGGAGGTTGGAGACATGAGCATCTGCTCTGTGGACAAATTTAGTTATAAAACCCAGTTCCCTTACAGACAGTGGAGCATACCTATCAAATCTGGGCCTTAGCTCACTTTCTCTCCATGGAAGAATTTCATCTTGTTTCAGGAGAACTGGAATTTTGACAGAGAAGCTTGATTAGAATAAATGGAGTGTTCCTATCAAATGCAAGGGACTAATGAATCCATTGGTAAGCTCCATTAGTTTCAATACAGTGCTAAACATTAAATGTTACAAGAGAGAGGTTGCTGCATATGTGCACTTTTCCAATTTTTTCAATTCTAAATTCTAGCTGATTTTAGGTTCTTTTTTTAGTTTCCATAAAGCATGAGTATAAACAGTGTTTTCATGTTTAGAAAGGTAAATAAGCATCTGTTCTGTGGGTATAAAAACCAGGAAAAAATAATCTAAAAATAGGTTTTAGTAGGACCTCCCATTCAAAAGTGGCTTCATTTAGTGCCTTAATTTGAAAAGTTGTTTCAGGCCCAAAAAAAAATCTTTGCCAATTTTCATCACAGAACAATATTTGCTTTTATACTAATTCTCTTCTGTCTCCCCAATAAGATTTCTGTTATGTAAGAAAACAACAACAATAAACAGCCTAAAAACCGATGCTATAAACATGATGGTATATTTTGCATTTCCATTTTATAATATGTAATTTCTATTGATGCAACACACATCATGTCAACAAACACTAATTTAAACACCCATTTTCAAAAATACTGCCACTGATAAATTTGGTCCATGGAGTTTTAGGAAATGTAAGACTCAGCATAGGTTAAGCAGGTGACAAGCCAAGTGGAAGAGTGTAAGAAAGTTAAAACTGACCATTCCTCCTCCTCTTAGCACCCTTGTGAGGGGCAGAAGTGATTTGGACAATATGTAATCCCATTTACATCCAGTTATATAGTGATCTTGTCCTTTCTATAGCCACATTTTCATACACACCATCTCCATTCTTCTTCACTTCCTACTGAGACTTGCATCCCAGCATAGTGCTTGATAGGAAATCACATCCTGCTGCAGGTTTTACAGTAGGAGAGTACAAGGAGATTAACAACTCACACTCTTAATCTCTCTTGCTGGGGCTTGGTCTTTCTTTAAGGATTATCTCCATAGTAAAATAGGCACCATATTTGGGAAAAGGAGGCTGGAGACTCATTACAACACTTGCACTGTTCAGTGTATATGCATCAACATATATAAAGAATCACAGAAAAGCCATGGAGTCACCTTTTATTGGCTTGAAAACATCCAAGTTTGGATGTTTTCATCAAACTCCACCTGTCTGATAGAGCTGCTCCAGTGCACTGAGTGTAACAATTTCTGCTGATGTCTGGTCTGAATGTCCCAAGACACCACTGTTGTTATCCCTAGTCATATAGACTAGAAAGAGTTTTTCTTTACAGATTTTAAACTTCCTTTCAGGCAGTAGTGGGCTACAATTAAATCTTTCTTGGCCTCATAACCTACATGAAAGGAATCTATGTCCCTCAACCTTTCCTTCAAGGTTTCCTTTAGGTTCCAGCTGCTATGATGGTCTGGCTCAGAGCCATCTCCTACTTCTTAGCAGCCTGCTTGAAGTGTGGAGGCGAGCTGTGAACTGTGAGGGGAAACCTGGGCACATTATTCCAGATGCTTTCTTACCAGCACTGAGTAGAGAGGGATAATAATTTTTCTTCATCTATACACTTAAAGTGGCTATCCACTTAAAGGAGCCAGTATGAGATGTAGTTTGTAATCAGAGAGTATGCTGATTATTAGCCTATTTTCAGCTTGGCATCAACCTCCAGGTTCTTTTCAGCAAGGCAAAATGTCTATAAAGAGAGATGCATCCTTTGGAGTGGGGGAAATGCAATCTTTAAAACCAGTAACAACTGCTTCCTCCTCTCCCTTTCAAAAGAGAGAAAAAAAATCACTCTGGTGCCTGCTTGTGAGTATGTGGTTAGAAACAGTGATTTTGTTGAAACCAGGAAACAACTAAAATCTGTTGTTTCAAGATATTGCCAGGTAAAGCAGAGTCTCTAAAATCAACTGGTTCACAAATTCTTTAACTATTAGTAAAAGTACTGTAGGTACTCCAAAATACAAAACCATAAGCTTTAGAAGAATATTTTCACAAAACGTTCAAGTACAAAATAAAAATAGTAAGGCAACCTTCATTGCTGCTAATATGTCAAGTTCTATATCTGTCCATGTATTGTCACAACAAAAATAAATAGAACACATGAGAAAAGTACTTTCCTTTTTTGGCATTGGCTATTAGAAAAGATCTCTCTTCAACTTTTTGGGATATCATTCCACAGTGTGATAGTGTTAAGTATGAATCTTTTTGTTGAAAGGAATTTGAAGTGAATTGTAAACAGAAAACAACCCCCCTTTTGGTACAAGTAGAATTTTGTTCAGTACCAACCATTAGTAGCCATTAGATGATAAGTAGGCAGGTTGGAGAGATGTTTCTTGAAATCTTACATAGTACAAAGCAGAACATACTTTCATTGGACTTCCTGGCATTAAAAGATAATGTGCCGTATTTGGAAATATGATGATCAGGTCTGTTAAATCATGCTCAATCAGCTTACATAATAACACCTATATTTTGTTATTAATTTCAGATTTCAGAGACCTATGCCTTCCTACCGAGAGAAGCGGTGACACGATTTCTAATGAGCTGCTCAGAGTGCCAGAAAAGAATGCATTTAAACCCAGATGGAGCGGATCATAAAGGTAATGTTAGTGCCAAATAGTGGGATGTAAAGTAATTTTATTTCTAATACCCATTTATACTTTCCTAGCTTAAGTGAGGGTTCACATAAATTTGGTAGACTGTAACAGTTCAGTAAGTCAGATCATCTCATTTACTGAAGCTGGAAGGTAAGTGAATCTTCTGCTTTCAGTAAAGGATGGAGTGTAATGTCATCTGCACCCTCAATAGCAAGATGATTTTATCTGGAGGAAATAATTTATTTTGCTATGGAAATGTTTGTATGGGAGCTTAAGCGTAATGAATAGATAGGGTATATGGGCTGTCATTTAGGGTAGAAGATCTCATCAGTTTTCAGGATTTGATCTTGGTTTTCCTTTTTTTTTGGAAGACATCCACTTGTACAGCCTACAGGTGATTGAAAATGCAAAAGTTAGAGCTAAATGGCATAACAGTCTGACTTTGACTACAGAGTAGGCTGACATAGCCTCCACAATAAACACATAATGCATAATAACTATTTTTTTGCAGATAATGGAAAACCTCCAACTTTGGTGACCAGTATGATTGATTACAACATGCCCATTACTATGGCTTATATGAAACACATGAAGCTTCAGCTACTAAACTCACAGCAAGATGAGGTAAAACCTGAAATCTTTTAAGTTTGGTTTTTCTGTTCTCCTGCATTCTTTTGTACTTGTTTTTGAGGTAGCTAGGAAACGGAAGCTGATTGTTGATCCCATCTTTATAATTTTATTGCTAAAACAGTCAGTTTGAAGCCAAGGCACGGTCGTTTTCAAGCAATCAGATTGAGAGAAAATATGACTTATGACCCTTCTGTGATTGGGTGTAGTGAGCTGTACTTTGAATTGCCTGAAGGTGCTCTTTCACTGGAACAGTGAAAGGGTGATGTGGGCAGCATGTTCACTCGAGACTTAGTTCTGTGCCCAGAAGTGACTTCCATTGTCTGCTTCTAGAAACCAATACCATCAACAGCTGAAATGACTGCCATGGTGTTCTCAAGGCTAGCAACCACGATGCAACACGTACTGTGATGAAAGTCCTGGAAACATCAATTGAGAACTTTAGGGTGAAAAGCTTAATAATAAACAAGCAGAGTAATAATAAGAGTAGGAGATGCTTTTGAAATTTTGAATAAAAAGGCAGAAAAAAGGAGGAGAAGTAGACTGAGAATCATGCTTCTTCATAGAGACTTGAGGTTGAATTGTATTTATTTCTTCTCAAAGATTGTTTGCTTTTTCTGATTTATTCAGAGTTTTCCCAGATCTTAAGAAGTGCTTCATCAATTGCCAGGCACATACCAAATATTTGTAGTAACCTCATTTTTCTAGAAGTTTGTTTATTTACCATTTCAGCTGCAAAAGAGAAGCTCACTATGTGCCAACCAATAAACAGTTGTGCATTCTTTGTCTTCCTGTCCAACTACAAGATATTTTTTAATAAAGAAAGCCTTCAAAAACAACCTTAGCAGCTGGATTATGTCAAGACTCTGACTGACTTCTCACTTGTGCATAGTCAGCCAGATTTGTTTTCCCAATAAGTAGATATGGGCTATTGGTAGAGATTTCATGAATTATTCAACACTCTCTGAAATGGGCATTTCACAACTCCTCTAGAAATATCAGGATCCTTGTTTCAGTTTAGCCTTTTTTTTTAATTGCAGAGGGTGTAGGGAGAGATTCCCAACTCAAAGTTCTTAATGCATAAATACACTCTGGTCATATTTTCCTTCTATTGGGTCTCCTGATCATTTGAAGGATCTGGAAGTAGAGTTTCAAGTAGCAGGAGAGAAGAGGCTTTATTCTGCACTAGTCTTAGGAATTAAAGGACTCCTTGGTTTCTACAGCTTTTCCCTTTGAGAATTACTATTTCCACGACAGGATCAAGCACTCAGGCTGGATCAGGACCCCATGCCACAGAGCTTCTGTAGCCTGAATGTTTTAGTGTAGTCTTCTGAAATTTTTGTTAAACTAGTTTTTCATCTAGACAAGCCAGTGGCAATGATATGGAGGCAGCAGGACTTAACTTTGCTTGGTATTTCCCTGCCCTGCTCAGTTTTGCAGCTCTGTTGTTACTGTATATGAAATGCCTGCAGCAGTGGATTTATGAAAGAAATTTTTTATATGTTTTAGTAATAATAACTTTTTTAGGGTAGAGTGGGTGCAGGGAAAGTTCTAGATTTATGAAAGTAATTTTTTGAATGTTTTAGTAATAATAACTTTTCCAGGACAGAGTAGGCACAAGGAAAGTTCTCAAGATAATCCTTATGTCTTTTCTCAAAGCACAGTTTTGCCAAGGTTTTCTTTTTCCCCCGGGCTGTACATTTGTTGCCCTGAGAAAAAAATGACAGTGAAAATGTTGTAGTACAAAATAGCAAGACATCTGGTTCAAACTATTTCATGCACTTAAAAAACAGGCTTTGGTTTGCAGGAAAGATTTAATCAGTCATATCTGTATTCTTGTGGGGAATTGAGACAGGAGTAAACTTGGATCCTGCTGCTAGATTGCACAATGACTGAAAATCTCCTAATTCTCTCATCTTCAATTCCACATTTTTAAGCTGAGATCATTGATGAGAGGGAAACAGGTCTCATCTAAAAGGAGAACTCACCACTATGTGGGAATTTAGAGCTATGCTGCAGCTGCTATAAAGATTCCAGTGGTTCTGAGTTTTTGCTCCCATGCCCCCTGTGTCCATGCAGATCAAATGGAGGTTTACACAGTTTGGGAAGTGAGGTGGAGGTATTCTGCAGTGCTGTAGGCAAACAGAGGTGCATATGTGTGTTGTTTTATAACTATGAAAGTGTCAGCCAGAGCCCCCTTTCTGTGAGCCCATCAAACTGCCTAACCTCAGAACTGAAATATGTAAGCTGCTGCTTGCTGGTTCCTGCAGATTCAAGGAGAAATACCCCTGAGTTTTAAAAGAGACACAGCAATCCAGAAGGTCTGGGGGAGTTTGTTTTCTTGTTCTTTGAACAAGCAGAGTGCATTTTCCCTAAACCTCAGACCCATCTGGCAAGTGCCTTGGCCCTGTCTGGGGCAGGAGGCTGGTGGGCACCAGGGTTCATCTGTGAGGGCAGTGTTTGGGTGTTTGCTGCTGCTGTAATTGGGGTGCCTCTACTTTATGTAAGGCAAGAAAGACAGGTGCTTGTTAGAGAGGCACTCACTCTTTCATTTGATTTTTTTACAAATCCCTGAGAACAAGATATGTTCATTTCCTTATTTGTCATTGTCCTGCTGTGGTAGTGCAGAACAGCTTCACTTTGTGTGCTGTCCCACTCTTGCTGCTGACTGGCATTTTCAGTACTTCATCCTAATTTAACATGAGTCATTACTGCAGGGAACTTGCTTTCTGAAAACAAGAGAAATGTCCACGCAAACTGGAAACATTGTTGACACCCACTGGAGGAACTGATTTAAGTGTCCAACACTCAGAAAGAAGCAAGCAGCTATATTAATACCTGTAGTATCCACTTCACAACAAGTACACAGTAAATCATATTCTAGAGATCGCTATTTTTCTAGGTCAGTTCTGGTGAACAACCCAGAAAAATATTCTGAATCCTATCTTGTCCTATTTTGATAAAAAATGTAAAAAAAATTGATTGAAAAAATGTTTCAAACATTTTCAGGATGTACAAAAATATTTGTCATATTTTCCTCTGAGTTCTTTCAAGTGCTTTTCTTCTAAACATGACTAACCATCTCAGAAAAGTTGTTACTGAAAATATATTGCATTAGGTTTGTACAGTGCCTTAGCCATTTCCAGAGCAAGACTTGTGGATACTTAATTTCTAATCCATAAGTGGATGTGTGAACTTCAGTGGGACTGAAGCAACTGAAGTCAAATATATATCTGAATATTTTCTGAACTATGTCTAAAACTGTTTTTTTTATAAATGAGGATAATGATCAGGATTTTTAGTTTCTGCCTTTTTATAATCCCTGTTAAATGCTCTGTAACTGGACTTGATGGATAAATCATATTAAAGATGTATAATGTAGAATAAATTTGCAGTGATTCTCCTGTAATTATATTACTTTTATTTGCCACTGACTGTCATAACTTTTATAGGCTTTCTCACTTTCATAGATGCTTCTATAAACACAGTGTGTGATATCATGTGAAGGGAATTTGATCATGGATTCTTACTAGGTCATGTTGCCATTTGGAAATATCTTCCTGTGAGTCTTTGTGGTTTAACCCAAGCCAGCAACTAAGAACCATGTAGTGGCTTGCTCACTCCTTTACCCACTCTGGTGGGATGAGGGAGAAAATCAGAAAAAAGTAGAAACCCAGGGGTTGAGATGAGAAGAGTGTAATAATTTAAACAAAGTAAAATATACTACTACTGCCACTACTTCTACTACTAATTGTAATGAAAGGGGAGAGAGAAAAGGAGAAATAGAACCCAAGAAAGACATGTGATGCCAAATAAAATTCCTCACCACTCACTGAATGATACCCAGCCTGTCTCCCTCTGGTCAACTCCTCCCAGTTTATATACTGGGAATAATGCTCTGTGGTATGGAATATCCCTTTGGCCAGTTCAGGTCAGCTGTCCTGGCCCTGCTCCCTCCTGGCTTCTTGTGCACCTGCTTGCTGGCAGGGCATGAGAAACTGGAAAGTCTCTGACTTAGAGTAAGCACTGCTTAGCAACAACCAAAACATCAGTGTGTTATCAACATTATTCCCATACTAAATCCAAGCACAGCACTGTACCACTTAGTAAGAAGAAAATTAACTCTATCCCAGCCCAAACCAGGACAGTGGTCATTCACAGGGTTACTGACTTCCACGTGGGAAAGGTAAAAGATTCAGGCAGGGAATATAGAGAGGTCTCTTCAGCCACATTTGAATAACAAGGGCTTGGTATGGGATCTCTAGTAACCAATTCTTTTCTGGAATATACCATGGAACTACTATATAGTATCCTCATAGTTGAACAAATGACATTTGTCAGATTATCATACCGCATAAATGCTGTATTTTCCTTCCTCTTCTTGATATGCTCTGCTTGTTTTCTTACATACAAAAATATTTAGCATGATTGCACTCCATACCAGGTGTGGGTGAAACAAATGGGAAGAGAATGAGCTGCACATATAATGTGAACAATGCACCATGTTTTCTGACACGTCTCTTTTTATTTGCAGGATGAAAGTTCTATAGAAAGCGATGAGTTTGATATGAGTGACTCAACTAGAATGTCAGCTGTGAACTCTGACCTCAGTTCAAATCTGGAGGAGAGAATGCAAAGTCCTCAGAACCTCCAGGGCCAGCAGGATGGTAAGGTTCTTATTTTATAAAGAAAAATGTGGCATTGCCATGTCTTTTTTCCCATTCTGTGCTTTCATTAAGAATTTACTTTTCTTCATAGTGTGTTTCATTAGGTAATTTGAAATATATGTTCCCTTAATCTCAGCATGAAGAAGAATAAATTAGGGATTTTTTTTTTTGCAGGTTAATTAATTTGCTGCTTATGCAACAGGCCAGTGTTTAGACAACTATATGTTAAGTAGTATTATCTTACTGTTTCTATATATATATATATATATATATATATATCTGTAGTGTGACCATGCACAGACATTAGAGAAAATGAAACTCAAACCTTTCTGAGGCAACCCAGAAAGCTGAGAAAGTTGTTTTTAAAAGGAGGGATAGTAGTGTCACAAAAGCTGGTTATTTGGGAGATAGAAATTGGAATGTGATATTCAGAAGAAATGATGAAAACAAGAAATTTCTATGGAGAAATAAAGGCAAAAGATTAGAAAACAGTGAGCAGCATTGCACATTTCAATGTTAATTGTTTCTTGTTTACAGCACAAAACTACTTTTTGGTCAGAGAGAAAACTGACTTACTTTGCAATGAAGGTGCATAGGTGTGTAGTCTTTGGTTTCAGCCTTTGTTATATTGCAAATTAAATGAATCTGGTTTGGAATGAACTTTCTTCTGGATTCCAGGGCTCACAAATAGCCTGTCTGCCACAGACTGTGACAGTGGCCCATGAGTGGCACATGAATGCACAATACCCAAAGTGCAGGTCTATTCTACTGCCATTAGAGACAACATTGGAATTCTGTACTTGCTACTTGGGAATTTCCTGATCATGTGTGCCAAATCAGAAGTGCTTGAACACTAAATATATGGCATTTGATGGCTAATGCTGGATGCTTTGCACTTCATGCATCATAGTCATTTGCTAGCTGTTAAGATATTTAGGTGAGAATGGGGGTGCTGATAGGACCTGGTGATGGGTTGGATCTTCAACTGGGTTGCTCTCCAAACAGAGGAAGGAGTAGGATGTCTGTGATAATTCAATAGGCCAGATTCTAAACAGAACTGCCTTTTGTCTGAGCATCCTCAAGCTATCACATTTATTTTTTCAAATTTTAACTTAATTTCTGTCTACATACCTTCACTAAAGGAGCAGTTCTGATGCACATGATGTATGAAAAGCTAGTTCACTTTCCTGTTGAAGTTTGACTTTTCACAGGGATAATATAGTAATACTGCTAACTTAGAGGTTTCAGGGATACTCAGGAAGGTGCCTTTTTTTAATGTATCTGGCTTTCATTGCAATACTATGAAGTAGAAGTTTCACATATATAGTTTCTTAATAATAATTGGATACATTATATATCTGAAATAAAAATTATAACTCAGTACAGTAACCTGTGAAGAAATGTCTGTCATACATATCTTAACACCTGCTGCAACCATATTCATGTGCCACATCTAATCATATTAGAACCTAAGTATGAATGATAAAATGCTGCAAATCTGTCACTTGCTATTTCAAATGTATAGGAAATAAATCCACTGTGGTCTTTGAACTTCAGACAGTCTTACAGTATGGCTTTAAATCTCTCAGATTTCCTTCCCTTCCTTCCAGATGGTACTTGCTCACCTTCCTAAGGCAATCCTATTTTTTGCTGCGTCTTCTGGCTAAAGCATCTGCTGATAGAGAGATTTGAAATAGCAGCTCTTCCTGCTTCATTATTTTCCTTTGCTAGCTGTTGTCAGGTAGCAAACCTAAGTGTGGCTAGTTATAGCAACACTACTGTTTCAGATGTGGGAGAACGGGCTGAAGGAGGAGCAGAAAGACATGAGAGAAGTAGGAGGGAAGAAGAATGAGAGGAGAGGACAGGAAAAAAGCAGACTGGAAGAAAATAAACAATATGAGAGGTAGAGGAAGGGAAGTTGGAATGGGAAGGAGGGAAAATAAAAGGGAACATAAATGAATTTAGCAGTACAATCCCTTTTGCTGTCACAGGCTGCATCGTAAAATTTTACAACTTTAATCCTTAATTATAGCACACGCACACCAAAATCATCACCAAAGCATGAATCTGTGTCAAAAGTGATTCTTGCTCCCTTCCCTCAAACATTCCTTATGTCTATGAAAGTTTATGTCAGCCACCACATTCAGCCTATAGATAAAGACAGTTGGCATTTGCCTCATCTGGAACGTTTTGCTGCATCCTGGCAGGTGAAAGTTTGCTGTTGCATAAGCTTGCCTGTGTACATGCAGTTGGAATTGGTGTCTGGGGTGGAATGGCACAGCACATTCTGCTGCCTCAAGCATGCTCTCATTGGGAGGATAATTTGCTAGTGGGAATCATTAGCAAAACTGCTGCCTGGGATGGATTAAGGACAGCTCCAGTGTACCTAAAGGTGATGTGTTTAATCACTTTGCTTACCTGATTTTCCATGAGACGTACATGAGAACATTTTGGGACACCCCCTGTTTTTTTTCCTATGGATTTAAATTGATTTGGTACTTGAATATAAACAGTCTGTGTACCCTAGAGGAATATAATAGTGAACTGGGCCATGCTGCTGAGGGGTAGATGGAGGCTCCTCTTCCAGTTCAGTTTATCAGAGCATCAGAATGCTGACACCGTCTATGTAAAAGAAATATGATGCTTTCATAGCCTCATCCCTTGGGGCTGTACTTGCATCCTATTTAGACAGGCATTTTTCTTTGGGAGTCTACTACAGAGCTCATACTAGAAAATTTGAGCTGAGGTTTCTCAATATCTTCCAGCCCAATACTGTGTCCTGTTTCTCGTGGTTGGGTTGCTTGAACCTAAATAGAATAAAGTATGAGAGCAACTCTCATATCAGCTGAATACAATAGACTTCTTCACCCAGAAATGCAATGAAAGGTGGGAAAAATGCTGAGGAGGAAGGGCATGGAGACAGAAGCTGCGTATTTGCTCAGAGTAGATGGGTGCTGGTACTGCACAAAAGTCCTGGGCTCTGCAAATGGACTGAGGCTTCATAATACTTGTACTAAGGTTGTTAGGTGGAAAGGGTACAGGGAATTAAGGAAGCAATGAAAAGTGTGGAGAGCTGGTGAATTGTATCCATGGTACTGAAGTTGCTGCAATACTACTAAGGACAGTTCCCACTTTAAATTAGCCTTTGTACACTTTTAAATAACAGGGTCTTGAGTCACATCTGCTGGTGAATGGCTGAAAATAGTATCCTGAGCACCTGCAGGGCTTCTGCAATGATGGAGTAGGAGTTGGAAAAGGGCTGCTGATCTTCCCTGGGGAGATAGAAAAGGAAAAGAGCTCTAATTTACAATTGGTTCATTCCCCAGCTGGGAATGGGGTATGGCTCTCTGCTTAGCAGTGCCTCAGAGGTGTTTTCTCTAGCAGCCAGCTGGATAATAAAGCTGAAAATTGTTCATGTGTTCCTTTCTCTTTTGCTTGCCTCTTGCTTCCCCTGTTTTCTTGCTTCCCTAGACATGACACAGTTCTGTGTCCTAAGCTGGTTCTTTGGAGTGAGCCCTGCGTGTAACTCATCTGCAGGCAAAGCTCCCACTTGAGAGCTGTCTTTAATTCTCCTTTCTCTTAATAATGCTCTTAGGGCTCTGATGTTGCTGGATCAAACCCTTTTTCCCATCTCAGACCACAGACAGCAGGCAAGGTTTGTGAACAGAGTTGGAAATAAAGGACCATTTTTTGTTTTCTAAGTTAGTGGTTCAACCTGTTCAAAAAAATGATTTTCACAGTGAAAACTGTCCTCTAGATAGGCCCTCAGAGGAGCAGCAACAGCTTCTACCCTGAGTGAAAGTAGGACTTTTGTTGCCCTTGCCTGTTAGCTGGAGCCCTGTGCAGAGCAGCTGGATGTGTTTCCCTCCTCTCTGTGGTAGTTCATTAGTAACCAAGACATGAAATATGTAGGGGGTTGCTCTGATTAGAAGAAGTTAAGAACATATACAACCCTAGAAGTGAGGAGAATTAAGTATAAATTTGACATTGCATTGTTTCTTGTTTGTTTTTTACTATGTAAGCTATCAAGTAAAAGTCAGGGATGAGACTATTTGACTGTAACCCAGTGAAAGATGCAGGATTAATTTATTTTCAGTATTTCTCACTGTACTGACGTATACCAAAATATATCAGTGATTAGTCTGGATTTGGGTGGATGGATTGTGTTCGCTTCAATCTAGTTTTTAGAAAATTCTAGTTACATATTTAGACAGATATATACAAGTGCCTCTCATAGGCACTGTGTGGAGACATATAGGACCTTAAAGGAGCTAACCATGACAAAATATATCAGAAGTCAACCTTTAATGGGGGTTATACTGTCAATTTAGATGTAGAGATTAATAGGCTTTCCCTGGTCGTTTTTTTTCCAATTTATAGAAAATTGAGCAATAATATTGCAATACAGTGGAGGATTGTCTTCGAGTAGTTTGTGATCACTTGAATGGTGTCAGTTATCTTTCCTTGGCTTGTTCAAATTGCCACGTTTTACATAATATAGGTGCAGGAAACCTGGCTGTTAACATTAACTATTCCTTTCACTCATTTGTGTTTGTGACAGATGCAAGTATTGGAGTCAGCCATCTAAATACCTGTTTTCTGCATCAAAGCTATAATCTCTACACAATGGCTTCACCTGAAATAAGCAGCATTAGCTGATTAAGTTGTCAAAACTGACTGTCTATGCAAGAGTGCAGACTTGCTGTTGATTTTTCTCTCTGAACTAAGTCCAACCCAAGACTTGAATCCATCTTCTCATTCTGAACTTGTTGTACTATTGTACTTCTTTCTGCTTTTGTCTTTATTCCACTGAAGCCTGGACTCCCTGTCTTGAAACATTGACTTTTCTTTCTTCTCAAAGCAATTTAAGTTCAAGATATATGACCCCAAGCACCAGCTGCAGGCCAAAGTGAAGACAGATTGGTGGAAGAGCATAATGGAGTAAATTGTTTCTACTGTTGACAATGTATTGGGCCTGCTCTTCATTTTGAGTTAAGTGA